TTCGATTATTTGCCTTGTGTTTTCTTAATACAATGCCTAACCGACTTCCAACTTCTTCAAGTTCAGTTCTTAATTCATCTATTGTCCTTTCACGAACTTCTGCTGCTGTATCATCAAACTTTTCTTAATGATTTAGCTATTTAGATATTTTCAATTTCAATAATAGTTAGTAAAAAAAATTGTTTTATTTCTAAATTTATTTATTTAAAATTTAAAAATTATACATATCACATATGTTAAATAGTTGATTTGAAAAAAATATTACAAATAGTACTATAATAATAAATAAAAATTTCTGAATTTTTTGATTTTATATAAGATTTAAAAAAAAGTCCTAAATAAGGAAAGTGATTACACAATTTATTAAAAAAATTTTTTATATCGTTTAAAATACATTTTCAGAGATCTTCCATTAGTCTATTCTTGCAATAAATTGTGAGTAATTAAATTAGAAAAACTTGAAACTCTTATGCTGTGTTATATAATAATTGTTGAATCCACTTGAATCCAATAACTTTATAATATTTTTAACCTAGCAAAAAACATGTCTAAAGAAGGTATTATATAGAATGTAAAACTACTAAATTATCTAGATTTCATAGCTGAAAGAAAATAAATAGAAAGATGCTAAAAATAACAATTTGGTGAAGACAATATGAACAGAAAATACTATTTTATGTAATATATGCTATATAAAATTAGTAGAAAATCCTTTAAAAAGAGGATCTAAGAAAGCAAGAACTATAGCTGAAAAAGTCATTAGTAAAGAAGCTACAAAAGAAAATATCATAGACAAAGAAAAGGTAAATGCAAAAGTTAAGTTTATTAAAACTATAAAAGTGATAACAAAATTCTTTTATGATAGAAAGCATTTGAAAAAAAGAAAATCCTATATACAAATTTGACAAAATATGAAAATTACTTTAAGAATTTAAACTAAACTCAAAGGTTTTTTTTAATCAACTTTATTCAGTAACTTAGTTACTCGAACGTAATAAGTAAATAATAGATTGTATAAAGAAATTAATGGTGTTAATATGCTACCTTCTTGCTTCATTAAATAATACAAAAATTAATTCTTTTAAGTTTGATCTTGCATTTTATTTAGATTTAGTAGGTATAAATAATAAAGGCTTGAATACAATAGCAAATTTCAGTGTAGTTATAACATCAAGATTAATAGATTGCAAAAAGAAAAAATTTTATAAAAATTCAGAACAGGCTTTCGTGCTAAATATTAATAATTATTACAATATTCACATTCAATAGCAACCTGACATTAATAGTACATCTTAGACAGTACATATAATGATAATTGTAATTATAGATGAGGAATGAAACTCTTTAATAACAGTCAAAACTTAGACAAAACTATATTAAAATCATAATAAGGGATACGACGAAATCCATTCGATACAATGAAAGCCAAAACTGTCAAAATTATATTAAAAACATAGAAAAGGGTATGACGAAATTATTTTGAGAAGGTTTCGGCAGGCATCTATAATTGTAATAAATTTTTATCTTATGTTTATAATACCATGTGATAGAATACTTAATTTAAAGATAGTTAACGATGAATTAATTATGAGTATCTTGATAACTAATTTATCTCAAATCTTAGTATTTCTTATAATAATTATATGTGAGACTATATAGATAAAAAATGCATTGATAAAGAGCTTATGAACAGACTAATATTACATAATTACAATAATAGATTAGTAAAAAAAAAGACTAATCAGAATGTATAGAATGCTATCCTCTTTAATTTTATTGAAAGCAATTTGAAAGACGTAAAAGATTATATAAAAGCTCTCTAAATTTTATATAATCAAGAACTAATACAATCGTATCTCTTTAACTATACTATTCTTATTATTGCAGATTGATCTGTATCTATAAAGTTATTGCATACTGGCTTAGCTCAACAATAAAGTTGTTCTTTCATTTATTATAATATTATTGCCTATAATAGGTTCTTTTCACATGTCTTTGAATAGTTGTAAGCTTGTATTATAAAAAATTTATTTCTATTTAATGATATGTATAAAAGGATTTTTGACAAAAATAAGGATTTTGGTAAGAAATAGTGGCTATAACAAATTGATTAAATTCTTCATATTATATGCATAGCATGGTTTAATATAGATGATATTATTAATTTTAAGTTTGATTATATATGTAATAATATTAAATTTTTATATTTAACTGATTTTTGAATAATTTAATTCCTTTAGTTCTTGATATTTATGCAGTACATAAGGATAGAAATAGTTCAAAAAAAGTGATTCTGAGTCAGTTCTGAAACTAATTATAAATTTAATATATTTTAAATTTTTATGAGTTACAAATCATTTTTAACTAATTTTAAAATTAAACTGAAACTGACTTCAGATCAGTTTTAAGAGTCAACTCAAAATCAGAATGTTATCAAATTAAAGGTAATAATAGGATGAATTCTTTTAGAGATAAGTTGATAAAAGTTTTCTATAAATATTAATTTAGGTAATAAAAATGCAGACAGTAATGTCACTAAGGAAGAGAGCATAATAGCTTAAGTTTCTTATAGCTTGTCAATAGGATTTTTCTTCTACAACAGAAGGGTTTTTTGAGTTATATATACATGCTTAATTTTATATTGATATCTTAGCATTGCATAAGATTTTTGTTTGCATAATGAAGTAGCTAACCTCATAAAAATAAAATCTTATTTACAATCTAATAGTATATACACTTTTAAAAATAATATTATTTGTGTGAGTATAAACTAATTACTTTATATCTGCGTAAGTTTGACATAACTTCTCTAATATTTCCAATAAAATTTCACTTTCACGTAATATTTTAGCTTGTATTATGCAATTACAGTATATATAATGATATCAGATTTACTAGTAACAAATAATAGTGTAATAAATAGTATTTCACTACTAAAAAAATTCTAAGTTCTCAGAATACATAGTAAAATAAAAAGTTGAGGGGAGTAACGCAGGGTGACAAATATTTTTATTATAATACATGAAAGTGAAATTCTATTGAGAATGCAGGGTAAGATATTTGACATTTTATATAAAGCTTTTTTTAGTTTACGAGTTATTAGAATTATAAAAGTAAATGAAAAAGAACCTCTTAGTTCAGCTCAAATCAGAAATAACATAAATAAGTTAAAATCTGAATTAAAAAAATACTTCAACGCTTTATCAATATTTGTTCTCAGCTATAAATTAGATATCTATATACGAATTAATATAAAAAATTCTGCTGAAAAGCTAAATTATTGCAAATGATTCAGATATAATAAAGAAGTTGCTAAAATAATTATATGAAAATTTTATGGTAAGTATCTATTAAAGTAATAAATAAGAAATGTAATTCTAATTTTAATCTATTATTAGAAATCAGTACAAAATATAAAACTTATTACTCTTTTAGCATTTATACGAAAGAAATATAATGAATTTGTATGAGATTTTGCTAGTTGTGGTATTAATAAATTACTCTGAACACTTTTACATAATAGAAGGTGAAAGGAATTTAATGAGAAGCTTGCTAAAATCACTAATAGAATCTTGAAAATGCTATAAGTTATTTTACTATTGTTAGATTGTAATTATAAATATATTTACCTTAGAAGTGTTAAATTTCATTAGAAATGATTCTTAGAATAATTCAGCATTTAATTCTAAAGAAGCTGAAGCATTAAATAAAGGAACTTATCTAACAAATTTGATAGTTCTAGTAATTTAGGCTAGTTTAAAAATCTCTTACATGAAAGATTCATTTATATTAGCACATAAGTAAAATAATATTATATAAAACAAATTATTATAAATTTATTTATACTATTTTTTTAGGTATGAGTGATAGAGTATTACTAATGCAGATAAAAAAAAATGTTTGAGAAGATATCCTGATATCATCTTTTTTTAAAGATATATAAAAAGTTTACTAGTTTGTATATAATGATTTTTCTATTTTCTAATGCATTGAGTCATATAATCTCTCTTATTCTATATAACCTGAGCAATTTGATTACTAGTAACCATTTTTTTCTTTTTTACCTAATAATTTTTTATATAAATTGACATATATTTAAAAGATATATATAATTATAAGTAAATATACCTTGATTTTCTTTTTAGTTTTTCCTATTAAATATAATTGATTAAACTTTTTAAATGTATATTTAAATCTATTTTTATATTGATTAGCATTAACTTTAATAATTTAATATTTCCAAAAGCTGATTTGAAAAAGTATTAATCTTTTTATTCCTTTAGCATATTCTTTTAATTCTATTTTTTTCTTTTCTTTTCTTATAACATTATTCTTAAATTTCCAATATATATCATTCTAATACTACTTGTAAATCTTATATTAATAAAGAATTTCAATTATAAATCCCTTTTCTATTTCTTCAAATATTTTAAAATCTTTTCCTATTTAATCTTCAACAATTTCATTTTCTATTTCATTATCAGAAATTTTATTCTTTATCAATTTTTCAATGATCTTATCTTTTGAATATTCTTTAATAACTTTGTCTTCTATTCATTCTTTTTCAACAACAATAACTTAATCCTAAAATACATAATGTTATTTTTTTAGGTATCTTGCTAATTTGCTATATCTTATTATTTTATGTAACATTTTAAAAATATAATTGATTTCAAACCTAAATGAGAAAAAAAATGTTTATTTGCTAGAAAATTTAATTTATTCAAATCAAAAAATTTTCCGAGTATAATTAATTGCAATAATTCGGGCCGGCATTAAATTATTATAATGATGGCCAAAATTACATAAAATTTCGACCAATAAAATTACATGTACGTGATTTGATTCATTCATTTTAAATTTGGGCCAGTTATATGAAAATCATTTGATATTAAATGCTTACCTATTTTTTATGGGTATAAAATTTCGTGTAACAGGAAACGGATTTTACATCTTTTTTCGATTTCAATCTCTTTTTTATATATATTATATATATAAAAATGTTTTCTCAACTCGCATCAAAAAGAAATTCACTTACTATAATTAATTTATTTTTACGTCATGAAAGTACTTTATATTCTCATAATACTAATAAAAAATCATCAACATTTATTCCTGGTAAACAAGGTTATGATGTAAAAAAATTTTCTCCTCCTCCTCCGCCGAAAAAATCAAACAAAAAAAAGGCGAAATTAGCAGCAAAACTAAAAGATAAGACAGCACAAACACAAGGAGCAGAAAATCCAACAACAGAACAAACGACATCAATTAAAGAATTAGACTTGACCATTCCAAAGAAAGAAGAAAATGTTCAACAATATAAAGAGGAATCCATTAAAGAATTTGATTTAGCCATTCCAAAGAATGAAGAGGAATTAGAATTAAGACGGAGAAAAGAAGAATGGCATGACAAAATAAAACAAGAAAGACGAGATAAATTAAATAAAATTCATGAAACAATTAAAATTTTATCTTTGTCTTCTGACCCAAATGAATTTTGTACTCCTGAATATCGCGCAAGGAAAAGAGAAAATGCTCTTATAAATTATCATAAACGTGAATCAGAAAAACGGAGGGAAAGAAGAATAAATCTATTAACATTATACTATAATTCCTCGGATTTTGTTACTCTAAATAATTTGGATACAAAGATTGCCGATATGTATAATGACGTAAGACAACCTTTTACAACAACCCTTGAAGATATGCAAATTGATTATCAGGAGGGTGGTGGAATAATTGATGATTTAGAGCTTAAAAGAAGATTGGATAAAATTAAAGATACTTTAAGTGGTACCGCTCAAGGCGGAAAGAAAAAACTCGGTTTGGATAAAATTGAAAAATTGCAAGAAATGTCAGAGACAAATCGCGTGGAACCTTTAGGTTCAAGTATAGAAACAGAGCCAAATCTTGTGCAATCAGAATCATTAGATTCTTAACTAAGGATGTGTGTATTAAAAAAGTGAAAATGTATGCAATAATGTACAACTTTTTTTCTATAATACAACAAATCTTACTTTAGACTAATTAAATTAATAATGGCTTAATTAAAACACTCTACCGATCTATATATAAATAAATTTCTAAATCAAATTAAAATTAACTTCAAACGGCAATTAAAAATAATCCAAGAAACTGTGCATATGGAACTAAAGTATAACGTGTAACAAAATAAAATAACATCCCGAAAGCAATTGAAATTGGTAATGCAGGAAGCGCTTTCTTATAAATAGCCAGAAGAAATATAGTCGTATTAAGTCCCTAAATAAGATATATATATATAAAAATGAATTACTGATTTATCCTCTAAAAAAAGATCGATACAAAAGTGGAAATAAATCTTTACCGTTAGAACGGCGACTATACAAGCTACAGTTGTTATCCAATCAAATAAGGCTGCATTATAATAAATCGTTAGTTATTTGTTAAAATATCATGATTATTATAAATTATTTTTAATGAATTCTTAACATAACTTACCAGCTTGGGCTACAAGGACACTATAAAATACAAAATCACCTAATCCTAATTTCAATCCACTTTTTTCCTCTAATTTAACATTAAAGTTGTGGTTAATAATTGATCTTAATTAGTTTCAAATAGTTATAACAAATCAAACCTTCATCATCGTCCAATGAATCATCATTCGGTTGCGGTGGTTGATCCGGAAGAGACTGTCTTCTCGAGTTCTCATTCGTATCGTTAACATTGACAAATACTCCCTCAACTTCACCTTCACCATGAACATTTCGATTATCACGATTATATTTTATGTTTTCTGATAATGGAATTTCTTCGCCAGTATGAGTGCTAAGATCCCTTCCCTGAAAAGATGATGATGATGATCGTAACGAATTAAATGATGTAAATTGGTTAGAAAGTCCCGGTGATGCCATCAACCATACAGCATTTACTTTTTTAAATGAAAAAAATTAATTCGTTTTTTAAAATTTTAGCAACAATAAACATAAAAAAAAAATTGCATTTATATATATTAAAATTGATTATTACCAGAATATAATAATGCCGGTATCTCCCTCTGATCATCACGTGAGCTTTCAACCAAAATGCGTAGAGGACCAAAAGGACAAAGCACGGCAATCAAATCTTTTTTGATGCAAATTTTAAAAATTAAGGAATTAATTATTTAAATAATAAGACGTTTGTTACCTTACGTACCCCAAATAGCTAATAACGCCAATAAAATCCATGTGGTCCATGATGATAAACCTGTTAGAGAAAATGCCTAAAAATCATCAAGGAAAATTATATATAGCTCTGCAATAAAAGATCCCAAATATAATAAATCATTCATACCATCAAACTTGACATAATAGTCAAATACATTTGTTGCAATAACAGAGGTCCTTTCCAAAAAACAGAAATAAGTCCTACTGCAGCAAAGTTCCACAATGCAAAAATAAGCGTAATATAATCCATTGGAATTTGAAACACCTCTAAGATGCTCCTAATAAACAAAGTTTTTTTTTTTAAAAAAAAAAAGACAACAAATCGATTTAATTAGAATATATAACACCTACATCATTAAAAGGTTTCCCATGAATCCAAGAAGTAGAAGTACCACAACCATAAAGAAACCTATAAGGATCTGTAATACTGGTTAATCCATGGGTATCAAATCATAAAATAACTAGAATCATAGTACTAACTTTAGTGTACCCATGTTTAAATAAACAAACTATAATTATTGTAACAACAATAATTTGTCCTATTATAATTGCTGCAACCAAGAGAGAATTAAGAAAATAAGTGGATTCGGGTGTATTTTCTGAAGTATCAACAAATTGTTGAGTTGCATGTTTTGGTCTAAATTTATCATTAAAAACTATTAGTTTAGAGGCGAAATCTAATGTTAATTTTTGATATAATAACATATCATACCGAAATTCTGGAGCAAGGATTGATAGTTTGACCCAAAATACAGATAATAAAATACACACAACTACAGGTTTAATAATTCTATAAACTTGTTGCATGTAGAATCTAAATTCATCTACTTGGTTTTCATCAAACGAACTAGCTTGATTTGTAGACGAAGGTCTCTCGTTCGTAAATGATGGCTAAAATGAGGATATTGTTGAAACTATATGAAAATGAAAATGAAAATAATAAAGTAAAGAAATTATTGCTTACTACTCTCGCGGGTGATGATAAAGTTGAATTTCCTCCTTGAAAGGTTGAAGGAAAGGTTAAATAAGGCAAAACAAATCAACATTTTGAATTGAATTATCATATTACCTTTTTTATTGATAATTTGTGCAATTTGTCCACGTGCATAAACCTTACTATTAGATCTACTTACAGTAACGCTTCCTTCACCACTTTCTACATTAGAAAGCTGACCAGCATGTGCAGCTTTACATACTGAGGAATGACCTTTGGTCCAATTTTCAGTTTGACATTTTGGAGAACAATAACGAGGTCCCGACTGTCCGCAAGCCATACATAAGTATTGTGCAGGATCTCCACAATTTGAACAAACATGTATAGTAATATCTGAAAGCTCTAAAGTGGAAGCATTGATGTCTCCACCTAAAGTTGCAGTTGGACTTTCTTCATTTAGCATAGTATTTGCATCACTTTCTCTCTGTGTTTTTGAAGAATCCCTTTCATTAATGACTCTATTATTTGATAATAAATCTCTATCATTGTTAATTTCTTGTGAATTTGAAGAGGGACTTTCAGACATTTGATATTTTTTTTTGTCAAAAAATTAAAAGTTTTGAGATTACTTGCATATGGTAATTTACACAAAATTTTGATCTGTAAATCATGTAAATTACAAACCGGAAATATATGTTTTTAAAAATAAGGTTCAATAGTTGAAGTACAGGGACCCGAAAAAATTTTCGATTGTCGATTTGCAAAATTTGGGCAGAATTAGTAATTCTGAACATTTATTATTTTGATTTCAGAAGGATAAAGAAAAGAAAAAAAAAACTACGTTATTGGTAGATAGAAAAAATTATAATTGAAAAAATGAACTAGATTTTATGGATTTTATGGATTTTACTGATTTTACTGTATATTTTTGACTTGATATCTCCCTTCACATTTATTTGTCTCCAAATTTCTTCCAATATATATATCATAACATTTGATGCTTGATAATCGTTAAGATCCAAACCATATCCAACTATTTGATCCTTTATCAACAAACTTTCCACTCTAGATTCGTTAAAATTGCTAATTAGCAAATCATATATAATATGCAACTTTTCTTCTTCAGAAGAAGATTTTTCATTGAAATAAAATTTAAATGATTTAGAATTTGAGAAAGGTGAAATTGATACAAATGTTTCAATGAAACATTTTAACATTATTTGATTACATAATAAAGCTGGCAAAAGAGTGAATATGACCATACTATGATCATTTGAGAAAGTTTTTTCCTCAATTTGAACAAAATTTTCAAAGGATTGTTGTTCGGGTTCATTTAATTTCATTTCATCAAGATAATTTGCCAACATGTTGCCGCCAGCTGCTCCAATAAGGATTCCAATAGCTGTACCAACACTACCGCTAATATAAGTAGCGACCATTGGTAAACCAGCAGCTCCGTATGATTGAAGGATCGAAAGGACACTTCCGCTTTCAACTATGCCTCCATACAATGACATAAACCAGGAACCAAATGAACTTGCCGCAATACCTTCTGTACCAAATCCCAACGCACTAATTATTGCTGATAAAATAAAAGGCGCAACTACTAGACCAGTTAGTCCTATTGCTGCAGCGGCTGCTGTCCCAGTTACCCATGGACTATTCCAAATCTCTCTAAATGAGGGCATAAAGTCGTTATTTGCAAATGCGATGAATAATATGATAGTAAATAATCTTTTATCAGGCACAATTAACACCATGTTTGTTTTTTTTTTTTTTAGAAGTTAATAATTATTGTGTGTGATGAGAAAGTGAATGGAAAATTTTTTCATTTAGAATAAATAAAGGTTTTTTTTTGTCATACAAGTACGTCGGGCAGGACCCCACATAATTAGTCCTCCGTGTATCTCCTTCAGTTTTCCATGAACTGATCGGGTATTTTAATTATGAATTGAACTGGTCTTGGAATGCTTTATAACATAAATATTTAGGTAGAAATTCTGGCTGGAAAAAAAAAATAAGTTAGGACTTTATAGTTATAAAGAAACGCATTGCAATTACCACAAATAACATGCAATTTCGCAAATTTATCATTAAAGCATTTATTTTGCTATATACATTATTTCTCTCTAGGATATCTAATAAAAACACGACATCTATGATACGAAAATTGCTATTATTCTCAAAGAGGAAATTAAAAATGTCACGAAGTTGAGATTGTCGATTATCTCACGTGATAATTATAACCTATAAAATACAGTTGCGGAACAGATTAAAAGCTCTTATATCACACACCCCAATGACCATGTCTGTGTTTACTAAGAAATTTTCTATTTAGTTAAACATTTAAGAGTTAACATATACAATCACATGAAAAATAAAAAAAAAAATGCAATTGCACGAATTCCATGGACAACTGGACTAACTGGTCTAGTGGTTGCGCCTTTTATTTTATCATTTATAATTAATGCATTGGTTGGAAGCAGAATCTGCTGGTTTAGGAACTTTTAGTACTTATATGAGCATTGGCTGTTGGAGCAGCTGGCGGCAAATTATTTTAATAAATGAATTAAAATGAATCCTCAAATGATCATAATATGGTTATCTTCACTCTTATGGCAGCCTTATTATATAATGAATTGATGTTGAAATGTTTCACTAAAACATTTATATCTAATTTCTCGTTTCTTAATTCAAAATTATTTAGATTTGAATTCAAAGAAAAATCTTTATCAAAGTTGAATACAGAAAAAAAATTATGCTAGTTTCTTTCGCGTTATACAAATAGAGTTTAGTTTAAAAAAATTTTTTTTAAACAATTGGTCTGTTAATTAATATTTATTGTATTTTATTTTACAATATATTATATAATCAGTTTTTGACGATCATTTCTTAAAATTTTACTAGTATAAAATTTTTTTATTTAAAACCAATTATTGTTTAATATTTTATCAGGTTTTCTTTACTTTTTATTATGGCTTTAACTCTTCTTGATATGCTACCTATCAATTTTCGGGTTCAAATCCTCAAAATATTCATAAGTTCTCGCTTATTTTTTGGTAAAGGTTTATGCATTCAGACCTTTCTTTCTAAAATATTTTAAAGATTTCAATCAGATTCAAATTCAGACTTTAAGCCAGTCAAGGAAGCCAGTTATCCAAAATATTTTCTTTTCAATCTTTATAATTTTTGCTGTATATATTGAAACATTATCATTTTGAAATATATACTCATCTTCATTTTTCAATTTATAAAGAAAAGGTAGAAGATAATTATTTAGTAATTTGTAATTATAAAGGAGAACAACCGTATTCTTGACTAATCATTTGTTATTATCAAGCTTATTAAGCTAATGAGGCCAAATTGAATGCTTCATATCAATCTATTTTATAAATTTCCTAATATACAAGATGTACACTTTCTACTTTGATATTATCTCACTCATTATAATCAACCTATTGTAACAAGAAAACTCTGAGATTATAAACCAAAATGAGAGAAATAAAAAATAAAAATTATATCTGAAAAAAATAATAATGACAACCCTTTACTTACAGCTGATTCTTTTTTTGATATTCTTATTTTAATTTCTTATTATACATATTATTATAAACTAATTTAACTTCATTTTTTTGTGTTATTTTTTTTTTGATCAATTACATTACAAGTAAATTATTATATTATTAATCTATAATTATTTCATTTTTTATTTTTCTTTTAATTTTAAAAATAAATGTTTTATAATTTATTTTATAAAGCAGATTATTGAAATTAAGTAAATTTTATTTTTCTGTTCATTATCATTAATGTTTTTAGTATTAATTAATACTTTTGCTTTTTTGTAATATAATCATTTTCTAATAATATACTATAACTAACTGATTATATTTACTTAAAATGTTATTTCTAATAATATAGTTCTGGCTTTTAAATATTTATTATTTAGATAATTATTGATGCTTTTATATCTTTTTAATTTATTAAAAAAATATTTAAAGATAATAAATATTCTATAACTTTTATATTTGAATATTTAGTATAAATATTTATTTTTTTTAATTAAAATATGTAATATTATTAAATTTGAAAAATAATTTTATAAAAAATAATATTAAATTGTCTTTATAATAAAATTCTTTTGCAAAAAATCTTTATTATATTAAAAAAAGTCTAATCTAAAAAATTTATTATAAAAGAAATCATTTTATATATAATTTTTTTAATTTACTTTATTATATATTATAGTCTATGCTAAAAATAATGGTGATAGAGATGTTATATCTTTATTTATCTGTAATATTTCTATTATCTTGATGTATTCTTCATCTCTATAATAATACAAATGAATTATTGAATTATTATTGAATTTTTTAGCAAATAATGACCTAAAATACACTTTCTATATTATTTAAAAAGACTTGAAAACTCACTTTCTAATTGAATTATTTTTTGACCTTTATATAGTCTGAATTTTAATCTGATTGAAAATGTTTAAATTATTTTATAAAAAATATTAAGAAAAAAATTAAGAAAATAATAACATAGATGAATATTTCAATTGAAATTTTTTAACATAATTAAAGAGTAATAAGATAATCTTAATAATGCTATAATAGTTAAATCAATAGTATATCAAATCAAAATAAAGTATGTATTAATATAAAAGAAGTACATATTAAATATTAATTAATTAATAAAAGATGTAGCTATAACTTTTACATTTTTTATAAAAAATTTTTATTTAGATAAAATTGCATGTTGTTATCTTATGATACTAATGACTAAAAAATTAGTATTAAACATAATATTAACAAAAGGATTCATCTTTAACCAATACTTTAAGAAGAACTTTGAAAAGTTTACAAATAATTATTATTTTAAATAACAATATTTAAAATAAACTTTTAGAATTTTATTATAAATAAAGAATTTAATACAATTATATTTATTAGCATATAACTGTAATTAGTATTTATTTTGTTGGTGATAAAGACTAATTGAATTCTAATTGTCTCAGAATTGTCTTGTTAAAATTATTTACCTTAATCAAGTCATAAAGCTATCCTATTTATACTAAATTCACTAATATAAATAAATAAATACTAATTGATTACAAATAATAAATGATTAATAATAAAAAATGATTAGTAATTATATAAAAAAAATTTTTGGCGACTTTTGAATTTATTATGTAATCTCTATTTAATTCATTTTTTTTATCTTCACTATCTTTATTATCTAATGTAGTATAATTAATATGATTTCTGATCACATATATCATGTTACATCAGCTGATCTTTTGAATTAATATTTCTTATTACAATAAGTTAAATTAAAAAAATTATTCATTATTACTTTTGATACAAACTATATATAGATAGTATTTAATTAGTAATTTTAATATAAAATGAATTTTTAATATGTTAAATCTATATCATAATGAATATCTATTATATTAAATAATTCATTAAATTAAAATTTATTATAATATGAGTCAATTATATTTATTAAATTTAAATTAAATTACAAGTTAAATATTATTTAAATTTAAGTTATATTAAAGTTTTTATATATTAACTTAAAATCAAAACATCAAAAAAAATAAATAATATTATCTAATAATCATTTCAAAAACCTTAATTTCATTTTGATTAAAATAAAAATATTTATTATATAATTTTAATCATTTATTTTTATAATATTTAATTTTTATTTTAAAATTTTATAATTTATATAATTTAATAATATTAATTATTTATAATTAGGAAAAGAGAACTGTTGTTGAGTCTGAAATAATTTTGATACTTTCTAAAATTAAAATTTATTAGTTAAAGATTACGTGAGCGAACAAAGAAATACAATAATCATGTAACTGAAAAATTTTTATAGCATATCAATATATATTATCCTTTACTTTACTTTAGATAAATTATAATTATATATTATAAAAAAATAATAAATTAATAAAAAAAAATAAATAAATAAATATAAATTATCTTATATATTATTAAAAAGATTAAAAGATACAAAAATTTTATAATATTATTTAAAACTAGATAACAAAAATCATTGAAGTATCTGAAGTAAACAAATTAGTTGATCAACCATATTTAAATAATATTATAAATTATGATTAATTATAATACAATACTTAAATAGTAGATTATGTTAACTTTAATTGAAAGTACCTTATACTTATATTTTAGATAATTAAATTATTATTAACAAATTATTAAATTTAAATTTTATAGTTAATATAATTAATAAGTTATTATATTACATAAAATTGCTTAAAAAATAATAATACAATTTTATTAAATAAAAAAATAGTAATATTATTTCTTCAACAATTTTGCCTACAAATTTGTAGACAATTTTATTTTTAATTACAATTATTTTTAATTATTTTTAAATATTTTAAAATATATTATTAAAAAAATTAATACTTTTATAAATAAATTTTATGTTATTTTCTAAATAAAAATCAAAAAAAAAAAAGTAATTAACTAATGAATTTTAAAGATAAATAAATAATAAATTATTATAAAGAAAATTAAAATTTTAAATTCATATATTTTGCTATCTATTAATTTCAAAAATATAAAAAATACTACTATTTAATAGGTCTTTAATGTGATGAATCCAATAAATAAAATTATATATTTTTGTAATTATTTTTTTTTTTTTTTAGACGCAGTAATGCAATATTTTATTATATAAAATAATTTCAGTAAAAAAATTTACATGAAAATTCCAAAAA